CAGGTATTTCATCGTCTTTCCGTCTTATTGTTCTTCCATGGCATATATTTACTCCGCTTCCCAATTTCCTGCACTAAAGTATTTTTATCAGTGTTTCTCTGTCTCTCATGTCTGTTTTACTTTAATCCTTAGAGTTGTATCACTTCGTTGTGTTCTCGTGTACTGCTGCTGTGTTCTCGTCCACTGTTGTTACCGAGTGTGTTCTCTCGTGTTCTGGGGAGAGTGTTTGTACTCTGCCTTTTTTGCTTGCCATTTCCTTCAAAAAAGATGTGTTTATTCTCCCCATTTTCGCCTCTCCTTTCCTCTCTCCCAAATGCCGAAGGCGGAGCTGAAGAATTTTTTTCGCAGTTTATTCACACTAGTCTCTCTTCCCTGTTCCTTCGTTCACTTGGTGACTTTGTTGACGGGTTTTAACAAGGTGAGTTCCTCTCACTTGTTCTCACTCTGGGTATTATCACATCACTGGTATACTCGTGCAGTCCCGACAGGTTGATGAATAAGACACACGTGCAACACCTGGCTATCTCGCTTATGGAGAATGTGTTTCTCTTACCGCTGGCTCTTTCTCAGTTACGTTGGGGGGGGGGGGAAGGAAGAGTTACTTGTCGGAAACACCTTAATGATAACGATACCCGTGTGTTGTATGCCGCTTATTCATCGTCTTGCCCCTCTCTGATGGCGTTTTGCCCTCCCTGGCGGAGTCATCACCCTTCCTGGTGGCTTTACCTTCTGTGAGTTTCAAGAGTTCCTAGGAGAAACGCCAACGAAGTCCACACAATGAGACATGGCCCAATTTAAGAAGTGTTAGGGTCGGCCAGAAGCCCTGGTTAACCCCTCTCCTAGTAGAAGCAGTAGACAGATCTGGAGGCGAGATGGCAAGAATACTGCAGTAGAGCACAAGGGACTATGTCCTCCTTAGGGAAACACCACTGTCACTGTCACCTAGGGAAACACCACTGTCACTATCACCTAGGGGAATACCACTGTCACTGTCACCTAGGGAAACACCACTGTCACTGTCACCTAGGGAAACACCACTGTCACTGTCACCTAGGGAAACACCACTGTCACTGTAGCCCTGACTGACCGACCTCTGACCGCTTCTTCCCGATATTTCTATTTCTCCCTCTTTCTTGAAAATATTCCTCTGTCAGTATCTGCCCCTATTCTTCATCTTCCGTTCACTATCTACCATTAATCTTTCCTTCGTTGCCCTTCCTTTTCCTCCCCTGTTCTCCGTTTTACCTTCTCCATCCCAAACTCTCCCATGTTAATTGTCTCCCTTTCCCGGCATCCTACTTTTCCCAATCCCAGATCTTCCCAACCTGCTTTCCCTCTAGCAGACACTTTCCTAGGCTTCCTTCCTTCCCTCCCTCTCATCCTTCTTAGCCCTCTCCCTCCCTCCACTCAAACACTTCTGTTCCCTTCTTATACTGCAGCTCTGCTGGAATAAAACCTTTGAAGCTGGTATAGTTACTGAACCTCTAGTGAAATGCTTGACGATATTCTCACAGCTCTCTGCCAGTCCAGGCTGACACATTTCATAATTTGATTTATGTAACTCGCCATCCTGTGTTATCGAATATGAGAGGGCAAGCAGGTAGCTTTTGTTCCGGGAGTATAACTCGTATAGAACAGGGTGGCCTCCACCATATAGTTATTACATAGATTTGAATAGCAGCACACTGCGGATATTGCAGGCTGCTAGTGCCAACAGTCTGGTTGATCAAGCAGTCAGCACGTAGTTCTGGACCCCTTAAACGGTTCTCCGGCGCTAACAGAAAACGGGCACCCAGTGATCGCTGTCTAAACAAAACAGTCAGAATTCAACTGTTGAAAAGGGGTCTTCGAAGTTTTCCCCCTTTAAATGTTTTGCAACGGAAATGAGTCCCGCCAGCCAGCCTTCCTGGTAGCCCCACCTTCCGGGTACCTACCTTCCTGCCAGCTTGCCCTTTCCCGCCAGCCCCCCCTCCCTTTCCCAATTTCCCGCCTCAGAGATGTAATTTTCCCAGATAGTAACTCCGCTCCCTGGAGCAAGCCCTTGTAGCTGGGGTAGTTATAGACCATTAAGGGTGCGCTTGAGAAAACCCTCGCTTAATGAGGTCTGCCAACTCGTTTCCTGTGGTGGGAAATGAAAAAAATCATAAAAGGGGTAGCGACCACTGCTGGTGTCTTTTTTACTAAATGCAAGAAATCTTTCTCACCCCGTTACCATTCCCTTGTCTCTCTCTCTTCCTCCCCCACCTCTACCCCCCTTTCCCTTTCAATCCCGTATCCCCCCCCCCTTCCCCCGGGGAAACAAGGGGGGCTGGGATGTTTGAGCCGTAAAGCTTCCCACTGAATGTTACGGGCTTTTCGAAGGTTCCTGGGGCCATTGTTGTGCCTTATCACCCCCTCTGAGGGGAGGGGGAAGGAAGAGGAAGATGAGGAAGAAAGCGCGGGGTGCGAAGTGGAACTGGGGCAGGGGGCGGGGAAAGAGGTGGGGGAAAGGGGGAGGAAGTTTTGGGTTCATGGGAGCATATAGGAAAGGAAGATGGCGGAGAGTTACAGTCCACATCTTTATCTTCTCCCCCTCCCCCATTTTTTTTTTTATTTTTCCTCCTCTCGCATATCAGAGATCAAAAGCGGACAAGTTTTTAAAAAAATGAGTAACTTATGGAATTGATAGGTATCTTGTTCTTCCCAAAACAGAGATTCTGGGGAAAGCCCCCAAAGGTTTTAAAATTTTAATGCTGGATATTAGGCGAGAAATAATCATAATAATACGTGGGAAGACAGGAGGGGCTAGTGTCAAATCTGCACAGCCTTTAAACCCAATGGCAGTATGGGAAACGTAGAATAAACCATAAAAAAAAGGGCATGTGGGAAAAATAAAGAACACGGGATCAACGACTTCAAAGCTTGCCAGAACACTGCCGAAACAAGTGTTTTCAAAAAGGAAACGTTTTTGAAGAACTTCCCGGGCTGGAAGGAATTTTTGGATCATCGGGGCGCCAAAAGCAACGCCCCGGGTTTACCCAAAAAACACTAACAACCCGGGGGCGGGGTAGGAGAACTCCCAAATCCACCAATTTAAGTAACTAAAGGGTTACGTCCATTTGAAAAACCTACTCACAGCCTCACTCAGGACAATAACAAAACTCAGGTACTGCCACCAAGAAATACTCCCGACAGTATTTGTAAATTTTACTTCAAAAATTTGGGGGTTGACGGGGACAAAAAAAAAAGGGATTGTAAAACCCCTTCCCCGGGAAAAACCCCCACAGCACTCAAAAAACTAAACAAAATTTGTAAAAAAACTAAGTCGGAACGTACAGTCCTGATAAAATTGACCCATAGAAAGTTCAAAAAGGCCCCCCGTAGAAGAGACACAGAAAAAAAAGCCGAGCTGCTCAATAAAAGAGCGTATGTCATAAAAAAAATACCTGAATAAAGTGGGGGGGGGGGGCTTTATCCCTGGATCTGTCGTAGATAGAGAGCGTAAATTGATCCCACCGCCGCCCCCCATTAACACACAGCAGCCTTGGAGTTCCTCGATGCACGGGGGATCTTTTAATTTTGCAACGCCATTTGACAATAATCCATGGAGAGATACAATCTTTGATATAATTTCTAAAAATGGAGGTTTTCCCACCGCCCCCCGGAGAGGCACTTTATCAAAGGGGGCCTTCCGCGGAACAAGAAATATAATGGGTTAAATAATGAATTATAACGAAGCGCTAAACCCTTTTAAGGGGCAAAGCTCTGCCTAAGTACATTGTGTGAACGAGTAAGTCTTCTGAGAGGAAAAAAAAAAATGGTTAAAGATAAACTCAGCGACGTAATTTCCAGCGGCACACCAGTGCAAATTTTAATTGGGGCAACAAAGCGAAAGTTGGAGTGTGAGAACTTTTAGGGGGGAGCCCCTAAAACGAAATCGGAGTTTCCCCGACTTGTCTCTGTAACAGTTAAAAAAATACGTTTTGATATAAAAATAATAGGGTTTTTATAACAAACGAAGATGTTTCCC